GGATGACAAAGAATCTTACCTTATAGTTCACGAAGAAACATTAAGAGACAAAGGAAATGAGCTATACACAATATGCACACTTGTCCGGAAGGACAAGTGGGAGATTGAAAGGAATGATGTCCTTTCAACAAGTGTATTATTCCGGTAGAGGGTTTAGAATTATTACAGAGGTAATTCTTCAGTAAGGTCAAGTGATCGGAATGCCTAGGTGGAGGCCGCTTCCGATCAGTAATATCAAGGTACAATTGATGTTACAACTTAATCTTAAGTGAACCCTTCGGGTCGAACCCAATCGAATCTCCGATCTGAGACGTCGAATTAATCCGAAAGGATTTAATGAGTCGACAGAGTTTTACGAATACAGACGTCGGAAATCGAGCCTAGGGCGTCGATACCGAGCGTCGCAAAATCACAAGCAACAAGTATGAGCGTAGCCGTAGCAAGGCTAGGCTAGCTCGCAGCATGCCTAGGTGCACCATGTGTGTGCTAGGCGCACCATGGTGTGCTAGGCGCACCATGGTGTGCTAGGCGCACCATGGTGTGCTAGGCACCATGGCAGCCTAGGCACACCCTGGCAACCCATCGCATGCTAGCGTGGGTGCCTAGGTGCGCATGGTAGCCATCGCAAGCCACCACACTCATCGCAGGCCCATGCGCATCACTAGGCGCACCATGCGTGGCCTAGGTAGGATGGCTGGGCACTGTCGCAAGCCTAGGCAGTCTATCGCAGGCCCTGGCATCATGCCTAGGCGCTGTCGCAGCCCTAGCATGATGCCTTGGCACCATCGCAGATCAGCACATGGCAGGACCACACGCACACTCCAGGCACAGCCATCACAGTGCTAGGCACTGGCGCATGTGCGTGTGCGTGTGCGTGCCTCGCATCAAGCACAGCCACAACAAGTGCTGGGCACTGGCATGTGCTAGTGCGAGGATGGCTAGCAATGCATGTGCGTGTGCTTGCGTGCGTGCCTTCGCATGGCAAGACCAAGCACATCGTGCTAGCAACGAGCACCAAGCCCAACATGCGTGGCTCGCTAGCAGCACGCATGGTAAGCCTTGCGTGCATGGTGCGCTGGCTGGGTAGATGTGCGAGAAGGGGCTATGCGAGAGAGGGCTGGTGCGAGAGTGTGTGCGAGGGAGTGCTAGGCAGCAGCACTAAGCTAGCAGCACCAGCGCCCAGCAGCTCGCAGCGTGCTAGGGCTGATGCGTGCTAGGCAAGTGCGTGCCAGCACAGCTTGCTAGCACAACAAGTTGGCAGGCTGCCCAGCCTTGGTGCTAGGCGCCAGCTGGCAGCCTTGGCAGCCAAGGCAGGCTGCCAGCCCAGCTGTGCATAGGGTGACGGTTTTGGTGAGGGGTGGGGACCAAACATGGGCAAGGCCTTGAGGAACAAGGCAATGGTCCCCCCACCCATTCATGGTCCTCACCTAACCCTCTCTCTCTATTTGACACTTGTTGCATTGTGATTAGTTTTGTTTAATAATTTATTTTAGAAATAAATTAATTAGCAAAATTCATTCTCCCACATTGGTGGAGGATGAAAAATCAAGGGATCATTTCCCTATAAATACCAAGCTTGGTATTGGGATTTGAAACAACCTTGAGTGGAATTAAAAATGCAACTCTAGAAAAGAGTAAACCTTTGATTCGTAAAACTCATAGTTAATTTTGTCCGAGTCTTGACTAACCTTCAAGACTTAGGACGCTCGGGTCGGATCGAGGGTACGATCCGTCGGAGATCTCGTCTTTTCGGGATTTTGAAGTAAGAGCTCCTTGGGAGCGAAGCACGCGTCAAAGGTATAATTCTTGTCCTTAATCTTGTTTGATTAAGTTTACGATGCTTGTTTAATTGCTTTGATTAAGGGGCGGGTCTTGGTGGGTTTCCTTCCGCGTAGTGTCGGGTCACTACGAAACCCTACACTTGTTTTGAGCTTGTAATTGTTGGATGGAATTGTTTGTATAGGTAATGAAATATTCCATCATTAGCTCAAGGTTGGATTTTTGCGAACGTGGTTGCATAGATTGTTGAACTAGGGGTGGTCTTGTTTGGAAACTAGATGTCAACCCGTTCATAGAGGAATCCTTTTCTGAATCTTAGAAACTACATTATAGTTGTTGTATCAAGGTGGTGGTGGAGGCGGTTTTTGTTGAACTTGGGTATTCTTGTAAGAGAAATTTGGATGATGTTTCCAACCTTCATTATATGTGTTCAAATGAGGGTCATACGACCTTTTGAAATTTGTAGTGTCGAATGCATTAGCTTCCTCGATTGACATCTCAGTTGCGTTTGTGGACACTCAGGTGCAATGTGACCTTGTACACCACACATTTGACAAGTTTCAGGTGAGCCAGAAGAGGATCCAGCTTGGAGCTTGTCAAACTTGCTTGTCAATGCGTGCACCAAACTAGTCAAAAGAGTTAAAGCATCAATATCAAATTTTCCTCCTTTATTCACACTATTTCGGCCCCTTGGATGATAATTGTCATTGTCCGCCATATTCTCAATTTGCTCCTTTGCCTCAGTTGGGTTCTTAGTCCAAGAGAACCTCCAGATGCAGTATCAACATATATTCAGAACTCATGAGTTAAGCCACTATAAAAGGTTTAGGTCAACATCCATTCGAGAATAACATGATGAGGACATTGTCTCTGAAGTTGCTTGAACCTCCTCCATGCTTCATATAAGGACTTATCATCAGATTGACGGAAGGTAGCTAGCTCGTTCCTTAGTCTCGAAGTCTTCTCTTTCCCCAAGAATTTTAGTAGAAGGCCTTGACAAGCTTGTCCCAAGTATCAAAAGAGTCAGCACCTTCATCACGTAACCACTCCTTCTCCCTATCCCGTAGTGAGAAATGAAAAAGGCAAAAGTCTACCGTTGAGCTTCATAGTATCACACTTCTCCAAGAAATTGTCTATGTGAGTCACTAGACAATCATTTGCTGAGCCCATAAATGAATCGTTGGAGATTAATTGAATAAATTGAGGCTTCAACTCAAAGCTCTAAGCAGTGGCAGGTGGTCTGAAAATACTAGAAAGAAGTCCAGTTTTGTATCAGGAATATCATACTCTAAAAGAGATTTTGTTCCTAGGTTGACCATGTTTCTATTGTTTTGATTTCTCCTACTTCTTCTACCTCCTCGTCTCCTTGCAGTAGCTTCGATTTCAGAATCAAATGGTGTTAAATCGTCTGACCCTGAACGTCGAGTGTGCATACAACAAAGAACTAAAAGCAGAGTATCAAAAACACAAAAGACAATAGCCGAAGCAACAAATAAAGCTTACTAAAAACGAATCACGAATAACTAGAATGAAACCATTAGTCCTTGGCAACGACGCCAAAATTTGATAGGTGTGTCGCGTACCTAACAAAAATAACCTAACAAGATCACTACTATGTAGATAGGTAAGTAAGGATCGAATCCCAATAGAATATGGTTTGACTAATTAAACAGACTTAAAATAATACTAAGCAAGTAACTAAAATAACAGTGAAAATTAAAAACTAAAGAACTAATTAATTTAAACAATTAAATCTAAGTAATAATATGATAATAAAGTACTAAAAACATCCAAGATCAAGCATCACCACGAATACAATTAATGCAATAGTCGTTTTACCCCTAACGTATAATTTAATTGATCAATGAGGAAAAGTATTCCCTAAACAATACTAAAGGTCTCTTCCGAGTTATCAATGACTTTCCAAATTAACTATCAAGCCTACTTCTGTGTAATCAAGCAAATAATGGACATTAAACTGAATACTTAGCTTCCTAATTATCCAATCTACTACTTCCGTGAAGAACTTCAAACCCTTAACTCGCCAAAACTCAACTCCAGTTGCGATTAAAACAATGGATTAATAACAATACTAATTATCCCTAATCTAGTATTGGCATAAGCACAATCAATTAAGCATGTCAATTGCAATTATCATTAGAGAATTTAAAGAATTAATTCATGCATGCATCAATCATATTTGGGTTCTGCCAAATCTCAGATTGGAAAACTATTCACACATATTCATGAAATCAAGATTGATATTTGATAAGGAAAACATAATTAACAATAATAAAAAATGAGAGGATTGAGAGAAGAAATCAATACTTGAATTTAATTAGAAATCTTGAATCTAGAAAACAAAACCCTAGATTAGAAGAACGTAATACCAAAAATCTCCAAAAATAATGTGTTGTGTAAGTGATAAATAAAAGACTATGTAAAAACCTATTTATATACTCGGAAAATAGTAGTCGTCTTTACTTAAGATTAGGACTCTTAAAACCCCAAAAATAGAGCTAATCTCGTCAATAATTAAGTTGTTGCAATTGGGCTGCGGTACAAGGCCACGAGCCGCGGTACTGCTGCGGAGTAGACTGCCATCCTTGCGTTTCTTGCTACTTTGTGAAGTGCACCACAAGCAAGCTACGGTCAGTCATGGTAAACCGCAACCAAGTTGCGGAGTAGGTTGTCCCTTATGATTTATAGCTCTTCCAACATGTTGAATCCAACTTCCATGCTAACTCTACATACTTTTCAAGCAAAAAGCCTACAAAACAAGGAAAACAACTTGAGGAGAGCAATAATCAAAATATATAGTAAAATGAAGCTCAAATAATTAAATGCAGGAAGAAAATACGACAAATATCACATAAATATAGCGTATAAAATACGTAAATTATCGTGTTATCACACGACAAGTCCGAGGACCTGTGAGAACAACCACAGTTTAAGCACCTACTATGATCAAACTATATACTCGCCCCAAGTATTCTCTCTCACACCAGTAAAGACCATCAAATTTTCGAATTTTCTCTCTCATAGGGTTTCGTTTCAACTATCGTTAAGAAGACCGTTAGTCAAACATAAACATCCGTTTACCATGTTGTAACTGTTGATACATTCCCAATATACCCATACGGCCATACACAAAATTGTGAATTGACCATTAAACCCCCGAGATACACGGCAACTGTTTCTCCCAGAGATCAAATACTCGTACAAATGAACCAAACTCCCTAATTCCTACATGAACCAAATTCCCTTATTCGAAACGAAACAGAGTTCACATCGAAACGAAAAAACAATAAACCCAAATTCCTAATTCCTCATTTTCACAAAATCAAACTTGTCAAGATTTAAAGATCGATCAACAATGGAGTGTGTTTTCGGATTAGTAGGCAATGGATTCGCAATTATTGCAGCAGATACATCAGCGGTGAACAGCATTTTGGTGCACAAAACCAACGAAGACAAGATCATGAAGCTCGATTCTCACAAACTCTTGGGAGCCAGTGGCGAAGCCGGCGATAGGTCCAATCTCTTCCATTTTTGCAAAATTAATTTGTTCATTTGTGACGTTTAATTTGAATTTGAATTTTTTGTTTGATTGATTGATTTTCAGAGTTCAATTTACGGAGTTTGTTCAGAAGAATGTTTCTTTGTATCAGTTCAGGAATGGTATCCCTTTGACTACTGCTGCCGCTGCTAATTTCACTCGGGGTGAACTTGCTACTGCCTTAAGAAAGGTACATTTTCTGGGTTTTCGTAAATTTGAGGTTTTTCAATTTCATTTGAATGTTTGTATGATGGTTGCGTGTGTATTTTAGCTTTTGAAGAGATGCTATCTAGGGTTCACAAATTCTTTTTATGTGTCCCAGCTATTATAGGGGTTACTTCGTTAGTGTTATACGGATTACTTGGTCAGTTCTAGAAGGGTTATTTCATGAGTTCATGAGTGCTATTCAGGTTACTCGATCAGTATTATAAGGGTTACTTGTGTAGGGTAAGTGTTGTTTAGTGAACCTGAATTTGTTACAACTGTTGCGGACTTAATTACTGAATTTGGGTATTTGTTCGACAAGGCGGTTCGTATGCTGTGAATTACATTAGATTGCTGTCCTTTAGGTTTACTCGGAAAATAAAGTGCTGCATAAGGGTTGTTTGGGTCCAATTTAGTCCAATTGGGCTGGTCACTGAATGATCCAATTAAAAGCCCAAGGTTAAGGTTCAACTCTCCAAATGTGCTAAAGTCAAAAATCAACATCCTCAAAGCCATGTCAAGGTCAGTCAACGGCCCAATCAGCTTGGCCCAGCCCAACTGACTTCCGGGCCCAATCCGCCTCCTTCATTAGCCAAGGTATAAAAGCCAACAATTTGGTCAATTCTTGGTAAGACAATAAAGCCTCAAGCAACTAAACTCTTGCACAGCTTTCTCTCTCTAATATACTGACTTAAGCATCGGAGGGGCCTTCCTCGGCGTCCCCCCGAGGCTAGTTTACGTGTATTTGTTGTGCAGGAAACCCTCGGCTCCTGCGTCGTTCGGACCGAGACCAAGTTCCCTCAAGATAAAAGGATCTTCCGAGATTCGATTGTTTTCATCCGAAACAATTTGGCGCCGTCTGTGGGGAACGCTACTAAATTTCGCGTCAGTCATCAAACACTCCGGCAGTCGCCATGACTAAGAGTGGAAAGAGTTCCAAGAAGGCTAAGAAGGGAGGAGGCCAGATTACGGTGAGGGAACGCCAGCCGGTTTATCCCTCCCCGGAGCAAGCCTCTTCCGAATCGGAGGCCCCCATTTCTCCGGAAAGGGAAGCCTCAAGAGGTCCTAGCCTCCAGGAGGAGAACACCTCGCACCACACTCGGCAGCCGGGGCCATCCCCGAGACCGAGTGGCTCAGGTGCGAGGAACTCCCCGCCGCGCCATAGCGTGCAATCCAGGTCACATCCGCGGGAGACTCCTCCCTCCGGACCCTCCACCGAGGAAGTGGCCAGAGCAGTGGCCATCTGCATGGAGTTCCTTAAAGCTCAAGGGGCTCCAATCCAGATGCCTAATGATCACCAGCCGAGAAACCTGAAAAGGAGGATCGGTCAGGATGATGGTGGACAAGTTCCACCACATAGAGAGCTCGGCCAGAGGTGGCGAGGGGACACCCGAAACTCCAGTAAGGAGAGGAGGAGGAACCCTCAACCCTCTGACCACTCTGAAGCTCAGAATTCCATGGGGCCCTCCAAGGACCCGGAATTCGCCCGCCAAAGCGTTCACGAACGCTTGGGTTCGAGGGAGGTGAGTGTGCATAGCCGCCTCACCTTCCCAGAGGATACCGGACCCCACCCAACCTTGTCTCAGCCGGGGACGAAAACCACTTCCACCTCTGAGAGAGGAGGGAGCGAGGTCCCTGAGGCTGGGTACAAGGGGAAGGCGGTCATGGTTCCATCGAACTCGCCCTTCCAGAAGTGGATTCTGGAAGAGCATGTGCCAACGGTCAAAATCCCGGCACATATTACTTACGATGGTACCTCAGATCCTAAGGATCACATTGCCTCTTACGAGGGGCACATGTATCTGAACCCGAGGTCTGAGGCTACCTGGTGTAAATACTTTCCTACGACCCTCAAAGGTGTTGCCCAATCCTGGATCACCAAAGGGCTCAAGGAAGGCTCCATAACCGGTTGGAACGACCTCTCCAACAAGTTCAAGAGCAAATTCTCTACGGCCAACCGCCGAGAGAAGACCACTGCAGAGCTAATGAGTCTGCAGCAGGCGGAGGACGAGAGCCTCCGCGACTATCTGACTCGCTTCAGCAACGAGTCATCCGGAATCACAAGCCTGGATCAAGGCCTGGCCGTGTTCGCGCTACGGAACGGCCTCCAAGCTGGAAAGTTCCTGGACTTCATGGTCATGCATCCCCCGCAGACCCTGGAGGAAGCCTTGGAAGCATCGGATAGGTTCATCCGAGCCGAGGAGTGGAACAGATCCAGGTCTCAGTCTCGTCCGAGAATTGAGAAGCCGAAAGGGCAGCAGCCCGAAGTCTCGGCGCAGAGGAAAGGGAAGGCTAAGGCCTCAGAACCGTCCTCTGCTGCCGAGCCGAAGAAGGAAAGACACTTTCCCTACACGGGAAGGTACGATTCATACACTCCACTCTCCCTTCCCCGTGCTAAGATTTTCAGCACGACGAAGGACGAGGGGAGATTCAAAAAACCTCGTCCGTTGCCTCCCTGGCATCAGACGAGGGGAAAGGACCAGTGGTGCGAGTTCCATGACTCACCCGGACATCGCACCGAGGACTGCGTCCAGCTGAAGGACCAGATTGAGGATCTGGTCCGCAAGGGGTACCTGAGCCAATACCTCGCGGACAGGCGCGAGGAGAAAAAAGCTGAAAAAGATTCTCGGCAGGACCTCAACTTCGCTCGGAAGAAGGATAAGGGACCTCAGGGCAAGGAGTCCCTCGACATCCTAGTTATTTCCGGGGGAATCTCGCGAGGCACAGCCAAACGCCAACTGAGGGGTCTAACCCATCAGATTCATCAGGCTGAGCTTCGGCAGTCCCAGTCACCGGCGCCGAACATCCTGTTCACAGCCGAAGACTGTGAGGGGGTGGTATACCCCCACGATGACCCACTAGTAATCATTCTGGGCATCGCCAACCGCAACGTCTGGCGGACCCTCGTCGACGGCGGTAGCGGGGCGAACATCCTCTTCCGAGGAGCGTTCGACCAGCTGAGGATGGGAGCCGAGCACCTGGCCCCCGCACCCTACCCGGTGTCTGGATTCAACGGCTCTTCCTCGTATCCTGACGGGAAGATTACACTTCCTGTCACCATCGGCGAAGGCCGAGCAGCTAGGAATATCATGGCCGAATTTTTGGTCGTAGATGCTCCATCTGCATACAACGTGATCATGGGGAGACCCCTCATTCACGGCATTCAAGGAGTCGTCTCCACGTATCATCAAATCATGATATACGTTTCAGACGAGGGACGCTCCGAGAAAATAAAGGGCAGTCAAAAAGAAGCCCGCCGATGCAATCACCTCAAGCCATCCACGTCTCGCCGAGGCGACCGTGGCGATGGGGAGGAAAAGCACCGGGACCGAAACGCCAAAAAGCCGAGAGGCTCAGACGTTTCGGCTAATGAAGCCCCAGACAACGAGAAATCTGATGGGGGCCAAAAGGCTGACTCCGCCTCAGAGCCGAACGACTCTGATGGCCAGCCGCGGTCAGGAAAGTCTGCTAATATTGATAGCAGGCCGGAATTCGAGGAATCCAACTCTAAGAGCATGGAGACGGATGACCTGACCGAGTCAATAGAACTGACCGTAGGAGATCCGAACAGATGTGTTAGCATCGGGTCGTCACTGGAGCCAAACACCCGTGCGGCACTCGTCCAACTCCTACGGGCCAGTGGAGACGTGTTCGCCTTCTCAGCCGCAGAAATGCCCGGGATTGATCCGGACTTCGTCTCCCATAGGCTTAATGTCGACCCCTCCAGTCGACCCATTAAGCAGAAAAAGCGGAACTACTCCGCCGAAAAGAACCAGAACATCGCAGCTGAGGTCGATAAGCTCCTAGATGCTGGGTTCATTGAACCCTGTCAGTATCCGGAGTGGCTGGCCAATGTTGTAATGGTTCAGAAGGCAAATGGTAACTGGAGGATGTGCGTTGACTTCACGGACCTGAATAGGGCATGTCCCAAGGACTCCTATCCGCTGCCGAGGATCGACCAACTGGTCGACTCGACAAGCGGGCATGCTCTGCTCAGTTTCATGGACGCATTCTCGGGATACCATCAGATCTTCATGCACCCCGAGGACCGAGCTAAAACAGCGTTCATAACAAGTTCCGGGTTGTACAATTACAGAATGATGCCCTTCGGATTGAAAAATGCGGGGGCAACATATCAGAGGTTGGTTGATCAGGTTTTCGCCGAGCAAAAAGGCCGAAACATGGAGGTTTATGTTGACGACTCAATCGTCAAAAGCATAAAAGAAAAAGATCATGTCACGGACCTAGCCGAAACCTTCGCCACCCTCAGAAAATACAAAATGAAGCTGAATCCGAAGAAATGTGTCTTCGGCGTGAAGTCAGGCAAGTTCCTCGGCTTCATGGTCAGCAAGAGGGGGATTGATGCAAACCCCGCCAAAGTACAAGCTGCTTTAGACCTCCCCGAGCCGAAGACAAAAAGGGATATTCAGCGTCTAGCCGGGAGAATGGCTGCCTTGTCCAGGTTCATCTCACGAGCCTCAGACAAAGGGCTCCCTTTCTTCAAGGCGCTGAAGCTCCAAAATTCAAAAGGCATTGAATGGGGAGACGAACAAAAGTCAGCCTTTCAGCAGCTCCGTGAACACCTGGCTCAACTCCCAACACTGGCAAGGCCAGTCGTAGGAGACATCCTATACTTATACGTGGCGGTCAGTCCAGCCACGGTAAGCGCGGTGCTGCTAAGGGAAGAAGAAAAAGTTCAACAGCCGATCTATTTCGTCAGCCACACCCTGACGGATGCCGAGACGCGCTACCCATTGTTAGAAAAAGTGGCTTATGCAGTGGTGGTGGCTGCTCGGAAGTTGCGACCCTATTTTGATTCTCATCAAATAGCGGTTCTAACTGATCAGCCGTTAGAGAAAGTCCTCGGCAAGGTTGAAAAATCCGGTAGACTAGCAAAGTGGGCTTTCGAGCTCACCGAGTTCAGTATCGGTTATCAGCCGAGAACAGCCATCAAGGCGCAAGCCTTGGCAGACTTCTTGGCCGAGT